CAAATGAAGAAGAGCCACTTGTCTTTGATGATGATGTTTCAGACGAGGGATTGTATGGAGATGGATTCCAGGGAGGATAGCGATGATGGAGCATAGGAGGAACGTCATGATGATGATGAGATTAGATTAGATGCATGTTGTTAATTTATTATAATAGAGTCTAGACTATTCCTGTTTGACTGTCTTTTTGCTGATATTTTGGGACTTAAACTTCTAGATCTGGGATATTATGTCTTGTTATCTAGTATGTATGCATCTTTTATAATAAAGTCTAGACAATTTGTGCTTGGCACCAAGCATACCCATTTTTCTATATATATATATATATATAATATATATATATATATAATCTTCAAGTATCACAATTAAAAAAAAGTGCCCAGAAACTGTTTAGGCGTCCGCCTAGGCGTCTCAGCGCTGGGCGCCGGGTCCGACGCCTAGAAGTGTCTAGCGTTTAATATAACATTGGTTGTAACCCATGAAAATTGTGAAATTTGAAGTGTACGCATAATTAGTTGCTATTTGTTTGAAACTGACAAAAATGGACAATTTATTGGTTAGAACCGCTGAAAATCGTATATTCGCTCATTTGTCATTGTGTCAAAAAACTCAAATTAACAAAAATTGTTGCATAGCCCATCAAATTGAAACTTTAGAGAAAAAGAATACTTAATTGCCTTTAAGTCGAAAATAACGGAATTTGACAAAAAATTGTGGGTTAAATTTCAAATTTCAGGACGAATGAAAATTTTGAAGTACACATAATTAATTGCCACTGGGTTGAAACAAACGATAATTGACAAAATTTGTGAGTTTATGCCCATGAAAATCGCTAATTTTGAAGTACATAAAAGAACTTGCCAATTGAATGAAATGAAAAAAAAATTGCGAAAATCGTAGGTTGTAACCCATCAAAATCGCGAATTTTGTAGTAGGGGTAATTAATTATTATTGGATCCAACAAATGATAGTGGGGCAAAAATCATGTGTTATTGACCCATGAAAATTGGGACTATTGAAGTTCTCACAATCATTGCTGTTGCACCCAAACAAACTAAAATGGGCAAAATAATGGACTATAGTCTATAGCCTTTGTAAATCACAAATTTAGAAGTATTTACTTATTTGTCATTGTGTCGAAGAACGGAAATTCTTAAAAATCGCGGATAATATAGCCCATGAAAATCACAAATTTAAAAGTACAAACATATCTGTCATTGGATCAAAGCACGAAAATTGAAAAAATTTGAGGATAATGTAACTTATGAGAGTTGCGATTTATGAAAGAAAATTTAATTGTCATTAGGTCAAAATTAAAAAAAAGTCTAAAATCATGGGTAACAAACCATGAAAAACCTCAATTTTTTTGGTACGCTTCATTGATTGCTGATGGATCAAAATGAACGAAATGAGCAAATATCGTGATTTATAGCCCATGAAATCGTGTGTTTTGAAATTTGATTTGTTAGTTGCCATTGGGTCGAAATGAATAAAAATGGACAAAAATCATAGGCTATAACGAAAGAAATTATCAAAATCGTGAATTTTGTAGTACACGTACCTATTTTTCATGGTGTTAAAGAACATAAAATTGACTAACATTGTTGGGCATAGACAATCAAAGTCACAATTTTTGAAGAAATAAAACTTAATCATCATTGGGTCGAGAAAAATGAAAAATTTATGCATGGTTTAAAATTCACGCTTTTCGTGGGCTTTAACTCACAATTTTTTCCATTTTATCTGTTTGGACCTAGTAACAATTAATAGTGTAGACTTCAAAATTTGTGAGTGTCATGGGTTATAATCCATGATTTTTTGTGTGATAAATTTTCTGGTAAGATGGTAGCCATTAGAATGAACGTTAAACCTATTCATTACATCATGCTTACCAACTTATTGTTTTTTTTTTCTGGCAAACAAAAACATGACAAATAGTTAGCACCTTAGCAGGAAATTCTGAGGAGCTTGTTGCATGTGAACTTTATTCTATTATTTGCATTCATGGCCATGTTTAGGTATTATTTTTATGCAAGGGCTACCTCTCTTTTTAACTGCTATCCGTCAAACTATATATTTCAACAGTGTTAATTAATTTTGATAACTCTTTTCTTCTCAGGGGCCTACCTTTCCTCGTTGCCACCGAGTAGAATACTTGAAGCCCAGGCTCCATTCATCTTGTGATCTGTGAATGTGATGGTACGAAGAATCTCGCCAGGCTACAAGTTATACGAGCAAGCCACCACGTCCTTTATTTTTTGTTTCCGATATGTGGTCAAGTTCTTAATGTTGAGTTGTGATGTAATTAGCTTTGTTCTTTTATCCAAATAAATACAATTGCTCAAAATGAAACGACCTTGGCACGAGCCTGTGTCAAAAAACTTAATGGATTTTTCTTATGACGATACGATACGCAGTTTGGAGATATCGGAACAAATGGTTGTGTAGTTTGGGATCACCTTTTAAGTTGATCCTTAAAGAATGCTCTTGCATATAATTTTCTCCTTTCGTGAAACATTCATATTCCTTTGTGTACCAAATAGTGTCCCAACAGAGAACTCTACAACCTTGTAAGATTTGACATTTAAGTCCCTTTTCAGGCTCTAATGCAGGCAGGACTAGACATGAGCCTCTGCATAATAATGTGATGCTGACAAGTTCTATCTGAAATTTTTATACAGGGAAAGTTTCACTTTCTTAGCAGTGAAAATGCATTCATACAAATATTCAGTTGTCCGATTCTTTTAAACCATGCATTTAACGAAATATGCAAGTCATGTTGCACTATTCTGCTACTGTTTCCTATGTCTAGTTGAGTAGACAAGTGATCAGCAAGCAATGCGTGTACAAATAAAATACATTGTTGGCAAATATGAAGTCTCCACGTTTATAAAAAATGCTGCAAGTTCAACAACAATAATGCATGTGTTAAAAAATAGCACTTGTATATGTCTGTATGTGCATACATACGTAGCTGGTGAAATCACGGATTTTGAAATATAGTTAATTAATAGCCATTGCTTCGTAAATGAATAAAATTGGACAAAAGGTGTAGGTTAGCTAATGTAAACATAAATTTTGAAACACATATTTACTTGTGATTGGGTCAAAACAGGTAAAAATTAACAAAGTCACGAGTGTAGCCCATAACAATCGAGAACTTTGAAATACACCTAATTAGCTGTCATTGGATGGGAACAGCTGGAAATGCATGAGAAGTGAGTTATAACTTAAGAAAATCGTGAATTTTAAGGTGCACATATTACTTTGCTGTGGGTCAAAGAATGAAATAGGTAAAAATCGTTAGTCATATCTCATGAAAATTACAACGTTTTAAGAAATAAAACTTAATTATCATTTTGGTCAAAATTAACGAAAATTGACAACAATCATATAGCTCGTAAATCGCGGGTAATGTCCCAAGAAAATTGCGAAGTTTGAACTAGGCTAATTAATTTATCATTGGATCAAAACTGGAAAAACCATGGGTTATAGTTCACAAAAATCATGACTTTTGAAAAACGTACAGTCACTTGCCATTGTGATCAAACTAACAAAAAGTGCCAAGATCATTCCTTACAATGCATCAAAATCACGAACTTTGAAGTAGTCGTAACAAATTTGCAATTGGGACGAATGGATGGCAATGAACAAACATCATAGATTATTCTCCATAAAATCGTGAATATATAACTTCACAAAATTAATTGCTATTTGGGTCGAAATGAGCAAAAATAGAAAAAAATTCATGGACTATGGCATATAAAATCACGATTTATATAATACACATGCTTACTTGTCATTGGGTCGACGGATGAAAATTTATAAAACTCGTGAATTATAGCTTTTGAAAATAATAAATTTTGAGGTATGTATAATTACTTACTATTGGGACGAAACAAGAAAAATTTACCAAAATCGTGTTATAACTCATCAAATTTGTGAGTTTGTAAGTAGTCATAAATACTTGCCACTGGGTCAAATGGACAATAATGGAGAAAAATCGTGGGTTGTAGTACATGAAAATCGTGACTATTGATGTTTGCACAATTAGTTGCTATTGCATGGAAAACGAACAAAGACCATGAGCTATATCCCATAAAAATCAAGAATTTTCAAATACAGATATTTATTTGCCATTTTGGCAAAGAAATAAAGTTGATAAAAATGTGGGCCTTAGTCCATGAAAATCACACTGTATTTATGAAAGAAAAATTAGGTGCCCTTTGATCAAAACTAACGAAAATAGACTAAAATCCTTGGTTGCAGACGATGAAAACCACGGTTTATGAAGAAGTAAAAGTAAATTGTCATTGGCTCGAAACGGACGAAAATTTACAAAAATCATGGGCTATAGCCCATAAAATTCACAAAATTTGAATATTATGTGCAATAGCGAATGAAAATCACGAATTTTGAAATAGACATTATTAATTGCCATTGGAGTGCAATGAATGAAAATTAAAAAAATTGTGGGTTATATAGCTGATGAAGATCATAAATTTTAAAGTACGCATAGTCACTTGCTATTGGAATGAAACTAAGGAAAATTGCAGGTTATAAACTATCAAATCAATGAAATTTGAAATTGTCATAGTTAATTGTCATTGGGTCGAATGAATGATAGATAGTAGACAAAAATCATGTATTATTATAGACCAAGAAAATCATTAATATTTAAGTTCGCACAATTAATTACTATGCGGCGAAAGGAACTAAAATGAACAAACACCACAAACAACTCATGAAAATTACAAACTTTTAATTATGCATACTTATTTGCCATTGAATCAAAGAACATAAATTGACAATAATCATGAGTTATAGCCCATAAAAGTGGTGAAATTTGACATACGTCATAATCCGTTTCTATTGGATGGCATGAACTATATGGTGAAGAAAATTGCAGGTTATAGCCCATAATAATCGCGACAATTGAAGTTCACGAAATTAATTATTACTGGGTTGAAATGAAAAAAGAAGTCAAATAACTAAGCATATTTCAAAATTGGAGAGGATTCGGATCCACTCCAATTGTTGGAACTATATTCGATCTGATTGCAGCTACAACTATTCGAACAAATTTTTATTACAACAATATCCAAACGTACCTCTAACATGCGCATGATACTTCAACGCTTCCTATCCAAACACAACTTTTACTAACTCTAAGAGATTCATAGTATTAGGATAACAAACTATAAACTGAACTATATAATATACACGTAAACCCTTGTGCCATATTACTGTGACAATGGATTAGAACTGTGAAAATTTGAGTCTGTGTTGTAAAGTACGCACAACATACTAACCTGAAACCAAATAAATAAATTTTGTTAGATTCAAGAAAAAGAATTAATAAATTTTCTATATCCATCATTCTTCATATTTTACATATGGTAGAGTAGATGTATGTTTGTATGTAATCAAGGACTTAATATAGAAAAGGCCCATCAATTAGTTAGGGAATATATACTATCATACATAGGCAAAATCTCTACCAAATATAACGGAGGTAGAATATGTACCAAGTATAGTTAACAAATTTCTTACCCAAACACATATAATTAACCGATCTAAACAACAGTGTTATCCTTTTACAAGGGTAATTATCATGTGAATGACAGGACATAGAGCCTGAAGCATGTGATAAATTTAGATGAGGGTTGATTCCTAATCTTATTGAATATCAACTATGTTTTCTATATCAATCACAAATTGTTATGAGATATACGCACTCGAGCAATCCAAGTTCAAACCTAAGACTCCCAAATACTGAAAAACTCATTTTGCAAGAGTATCAGAATTCGAAAAGAATTCCAATCTCCATATGAGTTTGAATCTATCACAGATTTGAAATTTAATTCATTAGTAGTTATCTACTATCTACGAGATATCAAGTTAATAAGAGAAATAGAGAAAAAAATAACACTTCATCTGTCTTTATACAGTCCAAATAGCTTTCATGGCGTCTCGCCCTTCTTCATCCTCAATGATCATGCAGTCCAGAGGCAAGAAACGATCGGTAGCATCGATCCTGCCAGATATCATCTCAAATATCTTCCTAAATCTGCCTCTCAGATCCATAGCCAGGCTTCAGCTCGCCTACAAGTATTGGTATTTACTAACCTCAGACCCGCTGTTTCTTCGTTCCTTGAGTCGTTGAACAACCCTTCAATCAGCAACTCCAATATGTGATCTTAAACTACGTAACTCCAGCTAATGCACCGTGTCTGCATATGTGTCACTTTGGCCATGTTGACAACGTTGATGACAACATTGATAGCATCGAAATCTCTACGAGCAATGCAAGATTGACTGGATTCAAAGATAAGGGTATGAGCCTTCGCATTGAAGCTTACTGCGATGGATTGGTATGCTTTAGTTCGTATGGGTCTTACTGTATTTGCAACCCACTGACAATGGAGTGGATAACTGTTCCACGGTCATCGTACAATACAGCTCTTTGTGGATTCTACTTCCATCCCTCAACAGGAGAATGTCGACTGCTAAATTGTTCTGACAATGTGGTGGTGTTTACTCTGGGAAAACACTCACGGAGAGAAATCAAGAGCTCTTTTGAAGACAACACAGCAATTTGTTCGCCGTCTGGCAATTTAATGTGTGTAGTGCATCCAGTGTATTGTGCCAACCCTGTATTGTTCAGCGGAAGCTTACACTGGACTCCACACTCATATCGAGGAATATTGACGTTCAACACAGACTCGGAGAAGTTTCGAAAGATGTCTGTTCCACCCACAGGAGCATGGTACAACGAAGCTCGTGTATTCAGGCAAGCTCATGTGTTAGAGATGGATGAGCTGGGATTAAGCTTTTGGCAGTACGCTGGTGGATGGGAAATAGGCACAAAAGGGACAACATAAAGGAAGAATGGGTTAGACAGTACACCATCTCCTTCAGAGATCAAAGTATGGAGCAAGCTTTCCATTATTTCAAACCTTTATACGTTTGGAAAAATGGAGATGTGCTGCTGAGAGTATCGGGTCGGAATCTAGCTCTTCACAATCTCGAGCTCGAGACATTCAGAGAATTGGACCTCCGTATCAATAAATAAAATTTATGATTTTCATTGGCAACACACGATTTTGATCAATTTTCATTCATGTCGACCAAATGACAATGAGTACATATAGTTCAAAATTCATGATTTTCATGGATTGTAATTTTTGTTCGTTTCAACCTAATGTACATTAACTATGTATACATCAAACTTTGAAATTTTCATGAGGCCATAACCTATAAGTTTTGTCAAATTTCAGTCATTTCGGCCAAATGACAATTAAGTATGCATATTTCAGAATTCACGATTATTATGGGCTATAACCCATGACTTCTAAAAAAATTTGCTCATATTGAGTGACCAAATGAAAATTAACTGCACACCAAATTTTGTGATTTTTATGGGATGTAACCCACGATTTCATCAATTTTGTTCATTTCGACCAAACGACAAATAAGTATACGGAGTCCAAATTTATGATTTCGCAATTTAGCTTGTTTTGATCAAATGGTCATTAACTATGTATACATCAAAATTTGTGATTTTCATAGACAATAACCCACGGTTTTTGTCAATTTTCATTTATTTTGACAAAATGACAACTAAGTACGCATATTCCAAGATTCATGATTTTATGGGCTATAACTCATGATTTTTATAATTTTTATTAAAAAAATAAAAATTAAGTATGTGTACATCAAATTTGCAATTTTCATGGGGTAACCCACGATTTTAATCAAATTTCGTTTATTTTGACCAAATGACAAGTACATATAGTTCAAAATTCATGGTTTTAATAGGCTATAATCTATGACTTATGCAATTTTTGTTAGTTTTGACCAAATAAACATTAACTGCATACATGAGTTCAACATTCATGATTTTTATGGGCCCATGATTCTTGTAATTATTTCCGTTTTAACTTAATGAAAAATAAATGCATAGACCAAAATTTACGATTTTCAAGAGCTATAACCCCTGATTTTTGTTAATTTCTTTCATTTCAAGCAAATGACAATCAAGTATATGAAGTAAAAAGTTCATGATTTTTCATGGTCTATGACCAACAATTTTTTCAATGTTTATTTGCTCCAACCAAATGGACATTTAGTATGTGTACTTCAGAATTAACAATTTCCATGGGCTACATAACCCAAAGATTTTTGTGAGATTTCGTTCATTTCAACCAAATGTCAATTAAGTACGCATAGTTTAAAATTCATAATTTTTAATGGCTACAACTCACGATTGCTACAATTTTTATTCATTTTGATCCAATGAAAATTAAGTATGTGTATATCAAAATTTACAATTTCAACCCACAATTTTAGTCAACTCTCGTTCATTTAAACATATCAACAATAAAGCATGCACAATTTAAAAAGTCATAATTTTCATGGGCTATAACTCATGATTTTTAAAAAAAATTGTTCGTTTCGACCCTATGAAATTAAGTGTGTACGTACAAATTTGCGATTTTGATGGGCTACCAACGATTTTAGTCAATTTTTATTCATTTTGATCAAATGACAATTAAGTATATGCAGTTCAAAATTCACGATTTTAATAGGCTAAAACCCATGATTTTTGCAATTTGTGCTTCCTTACACCAAGTTGATATTAAGTTTGAGTAAACAAAGCTTTACAATTTTCATGGGCAATTCAACTTTCGTTCATTTCGACCAAATGACAATTGAGTACATGTAGTTAAAAATTCATGATTTTCATGGGTTGCAACCACGATTTTAATTAATTTTCGTTCATTTCGATCAAATGACAATTGATATAGGTACTTAAAAATTTATGATTTTCATAGGCTATAACCTACATTTTGCATCAAATTTATCATTTTCATGAACTACCCGTGATTTTTATCAAATTTTGTTCACTTCAACCAAAAGACAACTAAGTACGCAAATTTCAAAATTCATGCTTTTTCATGGGTTATTGCACATAATTTTTACTATTTTTGTTTGTTTTGACCAAATGGAAATGAAGTATGCATACATTAAACTTTGCAATTTTCATGGGCTATTTTCGTTCATTTTGACCAAATGATACACAGTATTCATGATTTTTGCAATATTTGTTTTTGCATACTTATGTTTTTGCATTATTTGTTTGTTGCAATCAAATGCATTTACTATTTGTCCATCAAAATTTGCGATTTTTATAGGCTATAGCCCACGATTTTTGTCAAATTTTGTTTAGTTTGTCCATCAAAAATGCATTTACGATTTTTGTACAGTTCAAAATTCATGATTTTCATGAACATATCCCACTATTTTTGCAATTTTCGATTGTTTCAACCAAATGGATATTAGGTATGTATACATCAAAATTTATGATTTTCATGCTATGTTTTCCTCAAATTTTCGTTGTTTATTTCAACCAAATAGCAATTAAGTACACATATAGTTCAAAATTGATGATATTCATGGATGTGTGATGGGCCTCACCAACACCGATCGGGGGCCTCAACCACGAGCCCTGGGGCGGACCATAGCTAGACCGCAAGTGGCTGGGGCTCGACCAGAGGCCACAGTTTTTACAATATGTGCTTGTTTCCACCAAATCAAAATTAAGTACGAGTTCATAAAAAATTACGATTTTCATGGGTTATAATCCACGATTTTGTCAAATTTTTTGAAATTTGACCAAATAGAACTAATTACGCATAGTTCATAATTCATGATTTTATTAATGGCCTACAACTCACAATTTTTGTAATTTTTTCTGTTTTCACCAAATGGATATTAACAAAATGTACATGTAAGCTCAGAATCATTATTTTCATGGGCTATATAATCTATGATTTTGCAATTTTTGTTCGTTTTGACCAAATAGAAATTAAGTAGGCGTACATTAGAAATTGTGATTTTCAGGGCTCTTATGATTTTAGTCAATCTTCATTAATTTCAACCAAATGACAATTAAGTATATGTAGTTCAAACTTCATAATTTTCATGGACTACAATCAGCTATTTTTGTAATTTGTGCTTCTTTCCACCAAATGGAAATTAAGTAAAAGTAAATAAAAATTTACGATTTTCATAGGTGTATTAACCAATGAATTTTAGTTGGTTTTTGTTCATTTCAGCAAATGACAATTGAGTGCATGTAGTTCAAAATTCATAATTTTCATGGTCTAACCCACAATTTTTATACAAAATTTATTTATTTTGACCAAATGGACATTAACTATGTATACATCAAAATTTATTCATAAACTTAACTAATAATTTTTGTCAATTTTAAGTACAAATAGTCAAAATTCATGATTTCCATGGGCAACAACCCACGGTTTTTACAATTTTTGGTTGTTTCAACCAAACGGAAATAAAATGTATATATCAAAATTTGTGATTTTCACGGGTGATTTTAGCCAACTTTCGTTCAAATCGACCAAAGGACAATCAAGAATATGTAGTTCAAAATTCATGATCTTCATAGGCTAACCCATGATTTTTGCAATTTTCATTCGTTTCAACCAATTGGACATTAACTATGTGTACATTAAAATTTGGGATTTTTATCAGTTGTAACCACAATTTTTGTTAAATTTTGTTCATTTTGACCAAATAGTAATTAAGTATGAACAGTTCAAAATTCTTGATTTTAAAGGGACATAACCCACAATTTTTTGTTCAAATTTTGTTCGTTTCAACCAAATACAAATGAAGCATGTACACATAAAAATTTGAGATTTTCATGGGTTATAACCCACAATTTTTGTTAATCTTTGTTCATTTCGATCAAATGACAATTTCGTACATGTAATTCAAAATTCGTGATTTCCATACCAAAAATCTTCGCATTTTTTTTCATTTTAACCAGATGGGCATTAACTATATGAAGTGTAGTTCAAAATTCATGAACATCATGCGCTACAACGTATAATTTTTGACAAATTTCATTCATTTTGACTAAATGATAATTAAGTATGCATAGTTTAAAATTCATGATTTTCATGGGCTATAACCAATAAATTTGCAATTTTTGTTCGTTTTCACCGAATGGAAATCAACACATTAAAACTTGCGATTCTCACCTAATGGCAATTAAGTACACATAGTTCAAACGTTATGATTTTCATGGGCTATAACCTAAGATTTTTACAATTTGTGTTTGCTTCCACCAAATGAAAATACATGCAAGTAAAAAAAATACGATTTACATTGGCTAACCCTTGATTTTAGTCAATGTTTGTTCATTTCGACCTACTAAAAGTTGAATACATATAGTTCGAAGTTCATGATTTCCATGGGCTATAACCCATTATTTTTGCAATTTTTATTCTTTAATATCAAATGGACATTAACTATGTGCACATCAAAGTTCGCAATTTTCATGGGCTGAAGACTGATGTGAAGCCCGAAGGTGTCAAAATGTTGACTTTGGTCAAGTTGAATGCATGTATGGTGGAAAATCCACTTATAGTGATATCCGAGGATAGTTGACATGCATGGCTCGTAGCATGGAGGTTGTGAGTGTATATAATGGTCTTGTTAAACATATGGTGCTCTGCATATGTTAGAAAGATCATGCCTATGTTGATAGCCATGTATAATATTGTTGCGTGGTTGTCAGTTCTACTCAAAAATGAATGAAGGAGAATGGTAAGGATTCATATGTGAGTATAGTCCTGTATTAGATAGCATAAAGGCTAAATTACGATATTACTATTTTTCTTTTACCATTTTGGTATTTTTTTAGCTCCGATGATGTTTTGGTTTTTTTAAGCAAAATGTGCAATTAGACTCAAAACTTCGCCATCAGCCAAAAAGCAGCAAAAACCTCGTGCGATGTTGTTAGTCAACATGAGGAAATTGTCAAAAGATCAGTTAGCATACTGGTAAAAGGATGATAATTATATGAATCTTATGCAACAATGTTGAATCCACTACAAAGAAGCAAATTTTGGGACAAAGAAAGGGAGGGCATATGATATTACCTTCAAATATAGTGAAGAGGAAGCTTGAGGCCAAAAACTGCTAGAAGAAAAAAAGGTTTCACACCTTTCTTTTCACCACAGCAAAGTTGTGGGCAAATTGCATATTTGGCTCAGAAAAATGCCAAAACGTCGCCAAAGCTAGAAAAATACCAAACTTGTGAGAGGAGTGTACAAAAAATACCAATTAATTTAGCACATAAGAAAAGGGTGTTGGGTTTAAATAAGAGTTAGGGCCTATACCTAAAAGTTCAAACCTCTGGGTTAAAACTAATTCCTAGCCTTTGTTTAAAGCCTATTAACTCCGGGTTAGACCTGATGACAATTAAGTACGCATAATTCAAAATTCATGATTAACTCATGATATTTGTAATTTTTATTTTATTTGTTTCGACTGAGTGAAAATTAAGTATGTATATATCAAAATTTGTGATATTCATTGCCTATAACCTACACGCTTGCCAAATTTCATTCATTTTGACCAAATGACGATTAGCTATGTATAATTCAAGTTTAATGATTGTCATGGCTATAACCAAAGAATTTTGTAATTTTTTGTTCATTTTGATGAAATGCATTAAGTATGTGTACATCAAAATTTACGATTTTCATACGCTATAACCCACAATTTTTGTCAAATTTTGTTCATTTTGACCAAATGACAATTAAGTATGCATAATTCAAAATTCATGATCTACATGGGCTATACTCCACAGTTTTGCAATTTTTGTTCTTTTCGACCAAATGGAAATTATGTAACGTCTACATCAAAATTTGCGATTTGTCAAATTCAGTTCATTTCGACTAAACAACAATGAAGTACACGTAGTTTAAATTTTAAATTTATGATTTTCATGTGCTTACCCATAATTTTTGTCAAATTTTATTAATTTTGACCAAATGATAATTAAGTATGCGTAGTTCAAAATTCATGATTTTCATGGTCTATACCCACGACTTTTGCAACTTGTGCTTGATTCCACCAAATGGAAATTAATTGCAAGTATATAAAATATATAATTTCACGATCAATAACCAATGATTTTAGTCAATTTTCATTCATTTCGACCAAAGGACAATTAAGGTTACCATCTAAATCCCTCTCCAGGTTCAAATGCTCTTATGTAGGTCATGGCATACACGAATCTCTAATCTATTTTTCCCTTAATTCTAAACCCTACGACAAACTACACCTCTCTAATCGATCACCATCGTTGTCTAGAAGATTTTATTGCATTAATCTAATGGTCATTTCCTTCAATACTAAACATTTATTCAGTTTCCCTCTTTTAGAGGAAAAGAAATCTCCATCCTACTTGTCTTTTTGTCCACATACGTATAATATGAATAAATTAAAACGAAAGATACAAATCATCTACTTGCATGAATCACTATGTAGTTCAATTGGAAAAGATTATGTTTGTTTCTCAAAAACTATAAAGCATTGTCCTTTTTCCCCCTTCATCTTTGATCTTGTCAGGGTAACAAACCATTATACAGACATCTTCATATACATTAGTAACTATTCTGACAAGTATCTCATCACAAGAGGGAAAAATCCTAATGAAATACGTGTCCAAATGAGTATGAAGCAGTTTACTACAGTTTTTAACTTATTCAATAAATTTACAGAGTTCGTGATAGAATTTGTATAGCTGTGAGTTGTAAACTTATGCTCATAGGAATTACCTCACCTCTACCAAGATCCATAGACTTATGCCAGAGAATGCATGTATCTTCTATTCTCAGTTCCTGGATTAAAGACAGGCTATGCTCCATAGAAGCCAGAGTCACATGCAGGTCATCGCTGATCATAAACTTATCTCCACTCTTGACAAATAGTTTACCAGCATCAACATCCCATTTGGGCCATCTTCTAATCAAATTCACAGTTAATTCTCGACAGTGAGGACATCGCACATTCGGAACAGAGCGACCGAAGCATGTGGGCTTGGCATGAAAATCACGCTTTTCACAAACATATACAGCCATTGGCTTAGCCATCAGCTGCAGCGCTTTGAGGGAAGAGAAGCATGATCTTGCATGCCTTAGCCTGGAAATTTTGCACATTAAGATTCTCAATGCTCTCATACAATTTGTCCAGGCATCCACTATAAGATTGTTTGTTGAGGAGTCTGACAATGGTTCCCAATGGAAAATCGCACAAGCTGAAGAGTATGTCAACAAAGTTGCTGTCCGCTTCGACCAGCACCACCCTTTGCTTCACCTTGCCCACCAAAAAATTCACAGTTACCTTCTCCATGGTGAAATATGTGACCGAAAGATCTAGGTTATGATTTTGAATCACTGCTAAGATACAATTTACAATTAGTTTACAGATATTTTTCAAAACCAATTGAACTTGTCTTTTCCGCTAATGAACCAGAACCATTTTAAAAAAGTACATTCAAAATCAATTTTCTCAACCTTCTATAAACCAATCCTTTTGAATCCCTAATTTTTTTTTTCAAAACCCTAGTCTCGAAAGAGGGAGGAAAAGACCAGAAACCTTATCAATTGAGTTGCATTCAATAAAAATTCTTGCTTTCAGTAACAAAATGTACCAACTGTGGAAAAACCCTAGATTATACCAAGAGCAATAAAAGCTAGACGAAAGAACTTACCTTTTTAAAAAAATAAAAAAAAACCCTAGATTCAAAATTAAGTCTTTCAAAATTTTCTATACATCAATCCTTTTAAAACCTAAATCTCTCAAAAGCCAAGACTCGAAAGAGAGGAAAATGTCAAGAGAGAATTCATGCTTCAGTTCAAAATAAATGAACAAACTGCAGAAACCCCAGATTGATTAAGGAGAGAAACTGAATCGAGACGAACCAAGATACCTTCTTGTATTTGGGGATAATTTCTAGGGATTTGCTCCTCTCTCTCTCTCTCTCTCTCTTCCTCGCGATTTGAAACAGCGAGCGAGCGAGAGGCAAATGGGCGAATTTATGGAAGAGAGCGAATAATACCGTGGGGGGGAGGGGCGGGATTAAAACCAAATTGCTGAAATGGGCCATGTGTTAGAAAAATAATTTTAAATGGGCTTTGTAAAATAATGTGGGAAGAATATTTCTCTCTGGGAAGATACTAGAATTATCAAATTCTAAATAACAGAGAACAAATATCTGAAACTAGAAGCAGTGAGTAAATAACATCCATATTCTCATACATGTTTCACTTTGCATTCATGTTACAAACTTTGATGCAAAAAATAGTAAATTTGATCCAATTGAAATTAGTGAATTTCATTCCATAACAAGACATCAACACATATCTGGAACCCCCTCCAGTGCATAGCATACCAAGCAAAATCACTAAAGCAAGATATGTCGACTTAACATTCCTCAAAATTCAAATCAACTAACAAAAATCTTCTAAGGCATATAAAATTAGCAAGCAAACAAATAAACCAAACCACCCACTGCGGGTGGCCTGAATGGTTAGGAGATTCAAATATGACTCTCATGGTCTTAGATTCGACTCCAAGCTAAGTTATTAAAAATAAAGAAATAAACCAAATCTAGTCAATTACATTCCATAATAATACACCGTTACATATAGCAACAAATTATAAGGTTCAAATATGGTAGCATTTTTTTTTATCGATGACGAGTTACATTCTGGCCCCATGATGATTCATCCACTTATTCCTATCTTTTGACAGAGATATCAGATGGCCAAGGATCTTAAAAGCAACAAGAAACAAATCTCTTCTATCAAAATATATAGCTGTTTAAAAATCAATATCATGTTCCTTGTTAAACAAAATACAATTACCTGTTAAGATCACAAGGAGAACAGAAGCTTACTTATTTCACATAAAAAGATGAATTTGTCGGTATAATGCAGTTTCTAACCATATACGAGTATTAAAGCCCTATGTAAATTAGAATTGAAACACATAAACATGTAATTGAATCAACATTGTGCCTATGCAGGGACGACAATTTGTAACGATTTATCAGAGCATTTCAGACGAATTGCGTAAAATAGTGCGGTTTACATTACCATCCACGTGAGCTGTGTAAAATCGAAATACCTTTGCGTTTAGACTGAGATGGTAACTTGTGAAGTGCCCAAGTATTGCTTCTTCTATTTCCTCTAGCCACCTGCATGAGCGTTGAGGGAGCGAACAACAGTACACAAAACCATTTATACAGCAGAAATTAGTTTGATAACGAGAGCGAACATATGATCTTCACAACAACATAATAAAAAGAGTTCCAGATTTTCATAGTGTTTTGTTACACACTTGCTGGTTCACAAAACTCACAAATCATAGTAAAAAGGTAACTATGTAATAATCAAGTGACTTAATTTCTTCTTTAGCAACCGAATTCCTCTTTCACTTTCGCTTTCTGATGAGTATTTAGCACATCATCAATCGGAGTTTTAGAAGTTACAGCAGATCTAAGTAGATCAAGGGCCTGCACGAAAGTCAAGAAACAACAACACAGTAAGAACAAAGGAGGACGGTCTAGAAGAACCATGAAAATGTCAAGGAAGAACAAAGGAGGACAGTCTACGAGAAACATGAAAATGTCGAGGAAACAATTACCAAGATCCAAATATTTGAGGTTATAATAAGTCTATTTTGGACAAATATTTGACCTGTCATTTGTTTGCTCACCTGGATTTCTCCGAATGTGGCCCTCTTCATCACTAGATCGCTTAAGGAAATATCCTGATTCTTGATAATTTGGATTGAGGAAGAGGCAGATAATTGAGACACACAAAGATCAGTAGTCACCAAGAATTTTCCCTTAGCATATCCTCCACCGATTTCTGTACTTCCCTCTGGAGATTTTGGGTTTAACAGTCTAAAATATGCCTGCTTCACACCGTGGGCACATTCTGAAACTGAACAACCTGTATTATCGTTTCTCCAGCAGCAAACGTAACAACCACGGCAAGAGGATTCACGCGGAGCAATTTCATCCATCTCCAGCATGCTGCCAGTGTAGCCAAAGAAGGGGGCGAGCTTAGGAGAGATAAGAATATTTTTGCACTCCTCAGATTTGAAATTGTCCAAACTCAAATTTTCAGCACTCTGATATAAGTTATCAACACATTCCAAGAACGACTTCTTAGTTTGAAGCTTGATCAGAGAACCAAGAGGCAAGGTCAGGAAACTGAATATAACGTTCACAAATTCTTCTCCAACTTCCACAAATGACACTTTGTTCGTAGATTTGTTTAAAATTAAATTGACGTGTGTTTCTTTTGATTCAGCTTCTGTGTTGCCTTCTCCTTTAACTTGTATCATTTTTTTAATACCAATTCCTTTTGACACATCATCAGTCACACCCATATTTTTGAAAACCAAGTCAGTGAGTGGAGAATTGGAGACCAGAAATCTTCCAAGCAATGTCAATATCTGCGTAAAATGCATTACAATTGTTAGATACAAATTAAACAATACAAAGGTTGCCGATTAAAACCGTTGCCTTGCAAAGGGAAATGGGGGAGATTGGCCTAATAGTGAAAAAAATCAAAACAGTAAATAATTATTGTTATCATGGTACATAAGGGATACAAGGAACAAATGCTGGTCAAATATCAACAGCAACTCAGAATGCTACTGATGCAAGACACTAAGTTGAGTCGAAATCAAAGGAAACAGATGGTTCACTGTTAAAAATAATTACGCAATTATTTTGTATTTGGCAATACTTTTTTTAAATTAAAGTAACATATTATTAGATTATCCAATCTCAACATATTAACTGATATTGCAATCATCTTGGCGAAGATCTCTCTGAAATTTTATGATTAAGCTTTTCTAGAATTTACTACCTAATCAACGATGGACCATTTACAGTTTGATAGATATTAATTTATGACTTTTAAGTAAAACTAATAAGAAATATATTGCCTCATTCATGTTACCACTTTTGCTGCTAATGAAGGTGAAGCCAGTTTGTACTTTGTTGTCCTAAAGTACTTAAAAGAAAGAAGGTGTGGCTCAATAGGGTGTTGCACTAGTAATAAAATCATGTCCCTAGTCTCATTAACAATCATAGGATATTTCTTTGTTGGGTAAAGCTTTATAGTTACCCAGGATCAAACTAAACCCACCTTTGGAAGTTGAAACTTCACGACGGATGGTACAAATAGATGATCTACTTGATTCACCTTGTTTCATAAAATTCATAAAGACAAAAAATAAACATTTTGTAAGACAACATCGTTTGTCTAAGGATCCATTTCGTTCAATATTAAAAACTTATTCAGTTTCCAACCTTGAAGGAATGGGTAAGAATTCACCAAACCATGTCCCTTTTTGTCCACATAGAAGTTGTATAAAGTATGATTGAAGACGAATCGATATACATCATCTATTTGGGTGGAACACAATGTACTTGAGATGGAACAACCTTAGAGAACTATAAAGCTTAGTCCTTCGTTTCCTTCATCATTGAGCTTGTCAGGGACAAACTGAACATTTTCATATGCATTAATAGCCATTTGGACAAGTATAACACAAGTGGGAAAGATCCACTTGAAATATTTGTAAAGATAAAATACAAAGCACTTTACAATAGTAATTTGCTTCTTCTATTAAAGTTCAGAGGAAATCAGAAGGATTTGTTATTAAACCGTAATTGGTAAAAAAATATTCATTGTGTTTTCAAAATACATTAGATGTTTCCACTTCATGGTTGGTTATTCTTTACTTTCTCCTCTTTGCTGTTTGCTCTCAGATTCCTTGTCTTTTCACAAGATTATGCAGAAGCTACCTAAAATCATTATCAAGAATTCGACTTGGAATAATAAAAACAAAAGTAATAGAGGTAATTTATATATGAACATGACAACTGAAATAGAGAAAGTACTAATTAGACCATTGATAAATTCAATTATCTTTCTTTCACTAGCCAGCTGATTACTCATCACCAAAAGTGTTTGGTCTATATACCAACGATTCTTATCTCTCATCGTAGTACATATGTAATTGCAATTCATAATTTTAAAGTCAAAAGACTCACCTCTTCAATACCAAGATCCATAACCTTCTCCTCGAGAATGCATGCATCTTCTACTCCCAGTTTCTGAATTAAAGACAGGTAATTCTCCATAGAAAATAGACTTATAAGAAGGTCATCGGTAATCATAAACTTATCTCCACTCTTGACAAATTGCACATCCCCTTTAGCCCACGTTTTAGGTGAATCCATAGTTTCTCGGCAGTGAGGACACCGTGCATTCGAAACAGAGCTAGCCAAGCAGGTGGCCTTGGAACAACAATCGGGCTTTCGACAAGCATAGGCAAGCCTCGGCTTAGGCTCCGTGCTATCAATATTTACTTTCAGATCTTCGCATCGTTCAGCTGCAGCGCTTTGAGGGAAGAGAAGCATGGTCTTGCATGCCTCAGTCTGGAAATTGCGCACATCAAGAGTCTCGACGCTCCCATACAATTTGTCCATGCATCCAAAATTAGATTGGTTGTTGAGGAGCCTGACGACGGTTCCCAGTGGCAGGGTGAGGAAGCTGAAGAGCATGTCTACAAAGTCGCTGTCCGCTTCAGCCAGCACCACCCTTTTCTTCGCCTTGTCCACCAAAAAACTAACGGTTACCTTTTGTTCACCGGCCATGATGAAATGTATGATCCCCCTTCCTTCAGGACAACCTACAGCATAGCGCAAGAATATGCAAATAATACGAGCCTACGCCGCAAATTATATAACCTTTAAATCGAAATTATTTAGAAAAATACTCTCAGTCAGTTTCCATGTCCACTTCCAAATCATTCATCACCCACAAACGTTCACTGTTGGCTTATATAATGTTCATCCCGTATAGTGAATAATATTCAATGTGTTATAATATCATGATTAATGTTCATCCCATAGAGATGTAGTTCAAATAATAAATTAATACTAAAGCGAGATGAATGAAATTACCATTTTTTTTATTTGGGGGGGAAATCTAAGGTCGTTGTCTCGTTTCTAACACTGAACCAGAACAATTTACGAACCATCGTATTTTGAAATTAAATCAAGATCAGCAAGATACCTTCTTCTTCTTCTTCCTCCTCCTCCTCTTGGGGGTTTCCAGGGTTTTGCTCCGCTTCCTGATCTTTTCGCTCCTACTAGAAGAGGAAAGTATCAAAATGGGCCATAAATCAGAAAGCGCCTTTTTTTTATTTTAAATGAGGCCCCCCAAGTCTTTCATACTTTGAAATTGGTACTCCAGATCTTTATGCATTTTGAAATAAGGCCCCAAGCCCTTATATATTTTGGAATTACTCCCCCAAATCAACATATTTTGAAATTAGTCCCCCAAATGTGTTAAGGGTTCTGAATTTAGTCCCAAAATCTTTTAACTTGCTGGTAACTACTAGAGGGACTAAATTCATAGCGCTCAAAAAGATTCTGGGGATTATATTAACACATTGAAGATGTGGTGCAATTATGTCGAGTAAACCCTATTAGAAAAAAAAAATAGATGGGCCTAATTTATTGTTCTAAAAGCCCGCTCAGAATTCCGGCGGGAATTTGTATGGGCCTAATTTCTTATACTGAAGAATGTTTACAAAAGCGGAATTAGAAGCGAGATGAGCGGACTTTTGTCGGGGCCGACGAGTTTCAAGAAGTTAATACGGTCATCAACAAAAAATATTTGTATGAATAGCAAATTCCTGCGTGTCAAATGAAGAGGATTTCTCTTTAATCCCTTACCATACTAATTCTATATATGCAAAAGAATTAGAAACTCGATCAGCAATATAAAGACGACCACACCGTAACAAGGTGAAAGGATGGACATTCCCAAACACTTAAAAATGATCACAAATGTTAAAACAAAACCTATATGTAACGGGTTAATAATTTAGTCATTCGGATTATCGAATGGGCTAACTATGTTAATCCTCCGCCTTTCTCTGTTCCTACCTCTGGATCACTTTGGGTTCAACCGAGTACAGGTTGCGAGTGCGCGCACCGGCAAGTATGGGGGCGGATTCAGAGCTTCCTGTGCAAATTTTGGAAGGGGTTTATCAAATATTTGACAAACGGACAACAGAAGAACATCCATGCTGTATTTTGAAAAAGATGATCTTTATAGAATGATGAAAAGCTATTGGAACAAAATTATCACCTCAATGACAAGAGAAGAAAAAAAATAGACTCTTACATGCTTCTAATCTAAAGTTCGATGCGTAGAACTTACATATAGAAGTTCAGAAAACCTGGAATATCAGAAGAAGAAAAAAAGACAATATAAAACCTGGCAACAAAACAAGAACGACAACTCGGCGACAATCTGAAACAAATCTCCCTAGATTTTGAGCACTAAAAAGCTCCCCTCTACAACTTCAAACTTGACTGTTTCATCAAAAGTACCGCGGGGAGACCTAATCAGTGACGTCCCTGGGCACCTATTATCGAAGGCGATCGAGATAGCTCCCGCTCCTGATCTCTGCCACCATTCCTTTTTGTGCTTCGATATCACTTCATCATCGCGTACCAGTATAGATTTGGTCGTTCCGTCCATCTTCGAGTAGCCAATCTCTTTGGTAAGAAGCCTGCACCACATGCTATTATGTTTCTCCGGGTCGTAGATGACTATCGTGTTCTTCCTCTTCGGCGAAGGGCACGAGTCGCTGCATAAATCGTCATGGGTGTGGCTGCAAGTCATGACTCTCATACTCCTGCCAATATAGTTGCTGCTTACGTCGGGTATCATCTGCGTGTTCCACTCCTCACCTCCGACGCGACACATGCTCACGTTTAACGACGAATCGTCCACCCGGTTTACGACAGATACGGTGCACTCTCGGTCCGTAGGGAGATACGTGAAGGTGCAGGCACATTCGCCGCTTACGTTGAGCTCAGGGAGGCTGGTTCTTGAGAAAGTGATCGGGTTGTAGAGGAAGAAGAACTTACCCCGACGAGCGAGCAGCCAACCGAACTTGGACGCGACGACCCTGGCGCGCTCTAGGTCGTGCAGCTTAAACGTGCAGCACCGTGGGTGAGATAGGGTGTAGATGCTGCACTTAGGAACGCCTGTTTCGTTACTTTCTAGTCCGAAGAGGGCGAGCCACGGTCGGTCTCTGGGGAAGCTGAGCAGCTCAGTGCGGCCTGACGGAGACGATCTCCATTGTTTGCAGACGCTACGGAATCTTACGAAGTCGAGGAGGGGCAGGCGATCGGAGATTTGCTCCAAGATTTCGACGAGCATCGTAGACCAATCGACATCACCTTCGGTTCGGCAGTGATCCTTTAAGAGAGAACTCGACATTGCAGACGGTTGTTTCTTAAGACTTACTCGTCAAGGTGGCGATGACCATTGAGAGGGTCTGGACTTATATATAAGGAATTTATTAGTGTTTAATTGGTAGGTTTAGAAAGTAAGGACTCTTTATTTATTTATTTATTCTTCTTCTTTTTCCTTTTCCTTTTATTGAGAGAAACTCTTCTTCTTTTGTTCCTTCTCATTGAAATTAAAGATAAAAAGAATATCGAGAGAAAATTTGAATCTATTTTATTGAGAGAGTACAAAAAGCCAATGTATATATGGTATCCAAATAAATTAAATCCTCATCAAATATTGTCATGCCTCGTACCATATATACTAATTTGACCAATCAATCATAATTAAACATGAGTTCCTAAAATATTTATGGGGGTAATCTAGGAGGTCAAAATATTCCATCGTATCTTCTAATAACCTTTCTCTTTTTTTTTGGAAATTAAAAAACTAGTGATGATCGACATAGAGTTCTGGTTTTAACAAAAAACAAGATATTGATGATAGCAAACCATTAATAGAAAGAACTCTTGGTAGAATTATGTCTCTAATTCAGTTTACAGATATCAACAAAAAATAATCTTCATTAAATATTCCGTCATATCTTCTATTGACCTTTATCTTTACTTTTAGAAATATAAAAAATAAAGAAATTATTGTTGAGTCTGGTCTATTTAATTAGGTGTGAAATTTAAACCGTTAAATTGTTTTGCATGTATCGCCCACTAATTAGGTATCATTAATTTGCGGTATCTCAATGACTGAGAGAATAAATTTTTAAAAAGCTGAGATAATATAATATAATACATATTGTTATAGGGTGTCCCCTACTCTCTGCAAATATGCAATCCCGTAAGCCGTCACTCCCCCAGTCGGATCAACATCATTCCTCAAAGGCGACTTGATGGGCGGACTCAGTCGATCATCTTCATATCAAAGGATTACTATCCAGCGTTAGTCGGCACTCCTACTAAGGACAAATCAGAATATTACTTAACAATATTTAACCTTTGATGATCACCATTATGTCTCCATCTTCAGCTGTCTGAAGCCTCGTCGGCTGCCGTTTCTTCGTATCGCTGAAGTGACCTCCCGTCACTCACTAGCAAGCCTCATCGGCTGCTGATTCCCAATATCATTGAAGTGACCTCTCGTCACTCACAAACCTACACGTATAGAGCAAAGGGTGGCTCAACCTCCACCTCACCCCTCACCGCCGTCTTACCGCACACTCATGAAGTGACTAATCTGCCCTTGGCATCCTCTATAAATACAGACGCTATTCTCCGTAAAAGGAGGTTTATATACCAACATGAATGAGACAATCATCTTGGCGAAGATCTCTCTGAAATTTTATGATTAAGCTTTTCTAGAATTTACTACCTAATCAACGATGGACCATTTACAGTTTGATAGATATTAATTTATGACTTTTAAGTAAAACTAATAAGAAATATATTGCCTCATTCATGTTACCACTTTTGCTGCTAATGAAGGTGAAGCCAGTTTGTACTTTGTTGTCCTAAAGTACTTAAAAGAAAGAAGGTGTGGCTCAATAGGGTGTTGCACTAGTAATAAAATCATGTCCCTAGTCTCATTAACAATCATAGGATATTTCTTTGTTGGGTAAAGCTTTATAGTTACCCAGGATCAAACTAAACCCACCTTTGGAAGTTGAAACTTCACGACGGATGGTACAAATAGATGATCTACTTGATTCACCTTGTTTCATAAAATTCATAAAGACAAAAAATAAACATTTTGTAAGACAACATCGTTTGTCTAAGGATCCATTTCGTTCAATATTAAAAACTTATTCAGTTTCCAACCTTGAAGGAATGGGTAAGAATTCACCAAACCATGTCCCTTTTTGTCCACATAGAAGTTGTATAAAGTATGATTGAAGACGAATCGATATACATCATCTATTTGGGTGGAACACAATGTACTTGAGATGGAACAACCTTAGAGAACTATAAAGCTTAGTCCTTCGTTTCCTTCATCATTGAGCTTGTCAGGGACAAACTGAACATTTTCATATGCATTAATAGCCATTTGGACAAGTATAACACAAGTGGGAAAGATCCACTTGAAATATTTGTAAAGATAAAATACAAAGCACTTTACAATAGTAATTTGCTTCTTCTATTAAAGTTCAGAGGAAATCAGAAGGATTTGTTATTAAACCGTAATTGGTAAAAAAATATTCATTGTGTTTTCAAAATACATTAGATGTTTCCACTTCATGGTTGGTTATTCTTTACTTTCTCCTCTTTGCTGTTTGCTCTCAGATTCCTTGTCTTTTCACAAGATTATGCAGAAGCTACCTAAAATCATTATCAAGAATTCGACTTGGAATAATAAAAACAAAAGTAATAGAGGTAATTTATATATGAACATGACAACTGAAATAGAGAAAGTACTAATTAGACCATTGATAAATTCAATTATCTTTCTTTCACTAGCCAGCTGATTACTCATCACCAAAAGTGTTTGGTCTATATACCAACGATTCTTATCTCTCATCGTAGTACATATGTAATTGCAATTCATAATTTTAAAGTCAAAAGACTCACCTCTTCAATACCAAGATCCATAACCTTCTCCTCGAGAATGCATGCATCTTCTACTCCCAGTTTCTGAATTAAAGACAGGTAATTCTCCATAGAAAATAGACTTATAAGAAGGTCATCGGTAATCATAAACTTATCTCCACTCTTGACAAATTGCACATCCCCTTTAGCCCACGTTTTAGGTGAATCCATAGTTTCTCGGCAGTGAGGACACCGTGCATTCGAAACAGAGCTAGCCAAGCAGGTGGCCTTGGAACAACAATCGGGCTTTCGACAAGCATAGGCAAGCCTCGGCTTAGGCTCCGTGCTATCAATATTTACTTTCAGATCTTCGCATCGTTCAGCTGCAGCGCTTTGAGGGAAGAGAAGCATGGTCTTGCATGCCTCAGTCTGGAAATTGCGCACATCAAGAGTCTCGACGCTCCCATACAATTTGTCCATGCATCCAAAATTAGATTGGTTGTTGAGGAGCCTGACGACGGTTCCCAGTGGCAGGGTGAGGAAGCTGAAGAGCATGTCTACAAAGTCGCTGTCCGCTTCGGCCAGCACCACCCTTTTCTTCGCCTTGTCCACCAAAAAACTAACGGTTACCTTTTGTTCACCGGCCATGATGAAATGTATGATCCCCCTTCCTTCAGGACAACCTACAGCATAGCGCAAGAATATGCAAATAATACGAGCCTACGCCGCAAATTATATAACCTTTAAATCGAAATTATTTAGAAAAATACTCTCAGTCAGTTTCCATGTCCACTTCCAAATCATTCATCACCCACAAACGTTCACTGTTGGCTTATATAATGTTCATCCCGTATAGTGAATAATATTCAATGTGTTATAATATCATGATTAATGTTCATCCCATAGAGATGTAGTTCAAATAATAAATTAATACTAAAGCGAGATGAATGAAATTACCATTTTTTTTATTTGGGGGGGAAATCTAAGGTCGTTGTCTCGTTTCTAACACTGAACCAGAACAATTTACGAACCATCGTATTTTGAAATTAAATCAAGATCAGCAAGATACCTTCTTCTTCTTCTTCCTCCTCCTCCTCCTCCTCTTGGGGGTTTCCAGGGTTTTGCTCCGCTTCCTGATCTTTTCGCTCCTACTAGAAGAGGAAAGTATCAAAATGGGCCATAAATCAGAAAGCGCCTTTTTTTTTTTTTAAATGAGGCCCCCCAAGTCTTTCATACTTTGAAATTGGTACTCCGAATCTTTATGCATTTTGAAATTAGGCACCAAGCCCTTATATATTTTGGAATTACCCCCCCCAAATCAACATATTTTGAAATTAGTCCCTCAAATGTGTTAAGGGTTTTGAATTTAGTCCCAAAATCTTTTAACTTGCTGGCAACTAGAGGGACTAAATTCATAACGCTAAAAAAAATTCAGGGGATTATATTAACACATTGAAGATGTGGTGCAATTATGTCGAGTAAACCCTATTAGAAAAAAAAAATTAGATGGGCCTAATTTATTGTTCTAAAAGCCCGCTCAGAATTCTGGCGGGAATTTGTATGGGCCTAATTTCTTATACTGAAGAATGTTTACAAAAGCGGAATTAGAAGCGAGATGAGCGGACTTTTGTCGGGGCCGACGAGTTTCAAGAAGTTAATACGGTCATCAACAAAAAATATTTGTATGAATAGCAAATTCCTGCGTGTCAAATGAAGAGGATTTCTCTTTAATCCCTTACCATACTAATTCTGTATATGCAAAAGAATTAGAAACTCGATCAGCAATATAAAGACGACCATACCGTAACAAGGTGAAGGGATGAACATTCCCAAACACTTAAAAATGATCACAAATGTTAAAATAAAACCTATATATAACGGGTTAATAATTTAGTCATTAGGATTATCGAATGGGCTAACTATGCTAATCCTCCGCCTTTCTCTGGTCCTACCTCTGGATCACTTTGGGTTCAACCGAGTACAGGTTGCGAGTGCGCGCACCGGCAAGTATGGGGGCGGATTCAGAGCTTCCTGTGCAAATTTTGGAAGGGGTTTATCAAATATTTGACGAACGGACAACAGAAGAACATCCATGCTGTATTTTGAAAAAGATGATCTTTATAGAATGATGAAAAGCTATTGGAACAAAATTATCACCTCAATGACAAGAGAAGAAAAAAAATAGACTCTTACATGCTTCTAATCTAAAGTTCGATGCGTAGAACTTACATATAGAAGTTCAGAAAACCTGGAATATCAGAAGAAGAAAAAAAGACAATATAAAACCTGGCAACAAAACAAGAACGACAACTCGGCGACAATCTGAAACAAATCTCCCTAGATTTTGAGCACTAAAAAGCTCCCCTCTACAACTTCAAACTTGACTGTTTCATCAAAAGTACCGCGGGGAGACCTAATCAGTGACGTCCCTGGACACCTATTATCGAAGGCGATCGAGATAGCTCCCGCTCCTGATCTCTGCCACCATTCCTTTTTGTGCTTCGATATCACTTCATCATCGCGTACCAGTATAGATTTGGTCGTTCCGTCCATCTTCGAGTAGCCAATCTCTTTGGTAAGAAGCTTGTACCACATATTATTATGTTTCTCTGGGTCGTAGATGACTATCGTGTTCTTCTTCTTCGGCGAAGGGCATGAGTCGCTGCATAAATCGTCATGGGTGTGGCTGCAAGTCATGACTCTCATACTCCTGCCAATATAGTTGCTGCTTACGTCGGGTATCATCTGCGTGTTCCACTCCTCACCTCCGACGCGACACATGCTCACGTTTAACGACGAATCGTCCACCCGGTTTACGACAGATACGGTGCACTCTCGGTCCGTAGGGAGATACGTGAAGGTGCAGGCACAATCGCCGCTTACGTTGAGATCAGGCATCAATAAAAGATCTTACAATTAGAATAATTATATAAGATCAAAGCATGTACCAAACCTGGTAGAAAATGTTGAGTTGAGAGGAGTGGTGGACACTAAGAAATATATTGTTATTATTTCTTTAGTGGTACAAACTCAGTACCCTCTATACAAGCACTCTCTCTACTATAAACTACTATACTCTTTTACAACCACTCGCTATTTTTTCTTCTTTATTTCTCTCTTTGCTTTCCTTTGCTACTTGGATGCCTTACAAATCAAACTAGGGGGTATATATAGACTTTCTTATGAGGTAGGTATACACTATTAGGGGGTTGTTAATTACTGTAGCAATGGTTAGGTGAGTTAAGGTGGGAATAGCTGCTCACTTCAACAGAAAAAAAGGGAATCTGGCCTTCAAGAAAAATAAAGTCCAGCTTAAGGCTTCCCATTCTACGAGTTTAACCAAAGGAAATGTTGAAAAATTCTTATAATGTACTGCCTTACAAATGAAAACTTATAGAGTTTGCTTGAGGTTTCCCCCTCTGCTACAATCGAGAGGTTGCAATATGGTCTTGGGTTCGATTCCGGGATGGGCTAATATTAATAATAATAATAAAAGCATCCCTCTGCTCACTCGACTAGCAGAGGGTGTGATTATATATCTATACCTAAATGACATACAATGGGCCATAAGTACCGACTTCGATGTGAAGCCTATCGAGCTTACATATAGAGAGAGATTTATATAATGATCTTGCTGTCATGCTTATTATGTCTTGATGATTGCAATCCTATTTCCAAATTCAGCAAATCTACGCCTACCACACGCACACGCACAAAAAAAAAAACGATTGTGCGTGTTCGGCGGCGACGATGGGTCGATGTTAGGTATATTGCATCGTTGAGGCAGGCGGTGGTTGCATACCTCGTCTCTCATTCATCTGTGGCTGTGGATGATTTGAGGGGACCAATTCAGTCTCTTTAAGTTCACTAATGATGCATTAATCATAACTTTAGTTGTCTTCAACATGAATAATCGATGATGACCTTGAAATGGTCCTTGGTCACTTTTGGGTACCTTTCCAGCAACGAAGAAAGAATTGCTATGCAAGCGAGGATAAATAAAGAGGTCCTTGCGATTGAAACGTCAATTGCAGCTTCTGCAATTGAAAGCAAAGACTCAAAAACAAAAGCAGGTGAAGGGCAACCAACACACGAACCGCCTGCACCTTCATCTTCACTAAAAGTAGGCATCAAGTTTATAAAGACGCTAATATATTTTTCAAATAAACACAGCTCATATGTTTTTCAAACCACAATTTACAAGTACACGAGTCGCCAATACACAACATGTCGAGTTCAATGTCATGGCGTATGTACAGAGCATAAACATGTAATACATATAAACAAAGCAGCATCACTCAGCATCACCTCCTCGAACCAGAATCACGGCCGTGAAAGCAGACGATGGACTGTTTTTTTTGTACAAGTCTTCGATTAAAAGTAGAGGTCGGCCGTCGGATGGGACTCCATTAAGCTACCAGTGAAGTTTACCCTACAACAACTAGGGAAGCTCAACCCAGCTTGTTGGCACCCAATTTCCGTGACGTGAGGCAAAGACCTGAGGTCGAGGTATTCCAACACCTTGCAGCACTGCAGTATTGTGCCGATCCCCAAGACTGTGATCCTCGGCACATTGCTCACTTTCAGGACCTTCAGGCCTGAATCAAACCCCCCCATCGCGAGACCGTCAAAAGCAGAATCTGTTACTTTACCACAGCACGAGATGTCGAGAGCCACAAGATTTCTGCAATTGGACAACACGCAGAGCAAGGAGGAGTCGCTGACGTTTAAGCACCAGTCCATCCGCAGGCTCCTAAGACTGCAGCCCAAGGCGAGAACAAGGGACTTCAACGGCTCATCAGAAACATCACGACATCCGCCAAAGACCAGCGTCTCGAGATTGCGGCACGAATCAGCCAAGGAGATTATAGACCTGTCGCCGACACCGTAGCAATCCAAGAGCTTAAGGGCCTGCAGGGAGGCAGAGCAGGCGCCAGCGATCCTCAGCACTCCGTCGTCGCCTACCTTGCTGCACTTGCTGACATCGAGACTCCGTATGTAACGGCAGCCCTCAACTAGATCAGAGAGCCCTGAATCGGTTACGTTGGTGCATCCCGAAAGGCCCAGCTCTTCGAGATGGCAACAGTTGTCAGACAGAGCTCGAAACAGTTCATTTGTTATCAATCTGCAACCGGAAAGCTCGAGTTTTCTCAAATCGTTACAGCCCAAAGCGATGGCCTTTACTCCCTTATCGGTTATCTTTCTGCAGCAGGAGACATCCAGTAGTGACTGGAGAAACGGAAGGCCACGTCCGAGGGCTACCAATCCAGCATCAGTAACTCCTGAGATAACACCAAAAAAAAAAAAAATTGCATTATAAATGTTCGAGGAATCCTGTGGGTAACCTAATTTTAGGGGTGGAAACAAATCTGATCGAATTGAATGCCCTGGTGTTCGTATTTGTGTTCGTTTAAAAATCAGCGAATTCGGATCAAGTTGAGTGTCATTTCCAAGAATTTCTTCGAATATACGCTGTAAAAGCGAATTAATACTAACCGAATATAACCAAATAGCTACCTTTACAGTTGTGCAGGTTGAGGGAGGTGACGGCGGGGAATCCGGAGGCGATGACGGAGAGATCGGGGTCGGCGAGGCCGGATAGAAGGATCTGAGAGGACTGGAGAGGTCGAGGTGGAGGATCGAAGGAAGCGGGCGGCGAGCCGCCGGAGCAGCATCGCCGGCCGGCCTCGCGTGGAGGCGGCGGCGCTCGAGCGTCTGGAGGCGGAGAGCACCGCTTGCAGACGAGGCCGAACGCCTCTTCTCGTCCTCCGCTCCAGCTTCGACAGGATCTGCCGGAGCGCGTCGGTCGCTCAGCGCCTCGTTGATTCTCTCCCTCCCGCCGCCGCCGCCGCGCGCCATTTCTTGGGGATGGAAACCCTAAAACTGGACGAGGTTCTCCCCCTCCTTTCTATTGCTTTTTGGTCCTGTCGTTGTCCGAACGGGCGAAGGGGAGTAGCGCTTAAATCGATTCCCAAGTTTGCACTTTTATGGAAAATGATAGGGGCGAGCATCTCCAACAGCTTCCCAATTTCTTATTTTTGAAGAATTTAGTTAGGTTTTTGGCCTAACAGATTTCCCATCTCATTCCCTAAAATAGGGATGAAAGAAAAAAAATGGGAAAGCTTCCCCAAATCTGCAGCATTCTCTAAATTTTGGAGGAAAAAATGGATTCTTCAAAATGGGGAAGCTGTTGGAGTTGGTGTAAAAATTAGTTAGAGAATATAACTTTTGCTTCCCCATTTTGAAAAAAAATTTAGAGAAACTGTTGGAGATGGTCTTATACCCCAACCATATTCCAAACCACATCCCCTCTCTCAAAATGCTACATTGTACAAGCTTCACATAGGATTTTAAATTTTTAAAATCTCATGTGGGGCCTGATGTACTGTAGCATATGAGAGAGGAGGATAGTTTGGAATGTGATTGGATGTGTGTCCCTACTGCTACCCCACTTTTATACCCTCACTTGCTTCTCACGTCGCCAAAAAATACCCCCCGGATAGTTAGTATCTAGTCACATTTTAAATAATAAAAAAATGAATTTTAAGGTGGGTACAACTAAATCATCACTTCCATAATTGAATTACCCAACTAGTATGATGATCAACTTTTTAACAATCTAATGAGATCAAATCGTAACTGTCAGATTTTTTTTTTTTCATTTTCTGTAAAATATCCCGGATAGTTACTACCTAATCACGTTTTTCAATTTACCAAAAATCTTAAAAACTATCTATTGAGTAAAGCCCTCGCTCTCTTTAGTTTTTTTATTTATTGAGGTACCATTTGGCAAAGGATTAAATGAGGGGTTAAGGAGACTTAACCTACGATTTCGTGAGATATAACCCACAAAATTTGTCCATTTACGCTCATTTTCGGCCCGGTGCAGACAATTAGACGGGGTGCATATTTCGCGATTTTGCGAGCTATAACCCATGATTTCTGACATATTCCCCTTAAGAAGGATTAAAATGAGTTAACCCCTCAAAATGAGGGGTTTACTAATACTCCTATTTAGAAGGATTAAAAGCTAACCCTTCTAATTATAAAGAAAATAGTCAAAATCATTGTTATTCCCAAACACGTACTAAAACTGAGGCCTGAGTGACTAAGAGATTTTCACATCGTATTCCTCACAAGTTAGTAAAGCTACTCTCGTCATTCGCCCGTGGACGTAGGCTACAAGCCGAACCACGTCTATCTATGTGTTTTTGTGCTCACCGACATTTTTTCGTGTTTTCATGTGATTGATATTAGTTTATCATGGGAATTTGTCATAACAGTAACTGATTCTATTATGTTGCATCTAAAACTATATGTATCACCTGAACCATGAATACAATCATCACATTCGCTCTCTCCTATTTAATTTTAGGACAAATTTTTAAAAGGACATTTTTTTTAATTTTATACAGCAAAAACGATCTCATCGGAAAATTGTGGCGCTCGTGCAACTTCATCGCGCAGCCGCATTTAGGAGTACCGCGCATTTGGTTCTCTTCTGGTTCGTAGATGATGAGCCACGGTTCATCTCCAGAGAAGTCGACTAGCTCAGAACATGACTCGATGGGGCCGATCGCCGCTGGTTGCAGACGCTGCGAAATCTTTTGTAGTCATTGAGAGACGGACGATCGGAGATGTTCTCCAAGATATCGAAGAGCATTGTGGACCAATCGTGACGATGATCGGAGAGAGATCTCTGCATTTTTATTTTATTTTTTATTTTATTTTATTTGAAAAATATAACGCATTTACACCATTGCGTGGGTAATTAATAATTCAGGGGAGAGTTTTGTGGAGGTGGAGGGAATCTACATGGGGGGATACTATTTATTTTTGTTGAAATTAAAGATGAGAAGGAATGAAATAGGAGAGAATAAGCTAAAATTGTATCCATATAAATTCTCATTACATATTCTCATATCCTTAATTTACCGTATTAATTTGACCGGTCACTCACAATTAGCATGCTTTCCTATAATTGTGGAGGTAAGTTAGGAGAATTGTATCTTTTAATATAACAGATTGTAGTTATTTTTAGAAATACAACGAGAAACACTAGTAGAAAAACGACCAATCTAGATGGAAATTTCCGTCTAGGTTGGTCTACAATCCGTCTAGGTTGGTTCATCTAGACGGAAATCCGTCTAGGTATGATAATAAGATAGAGTCCTAATTTTACCTATACTACTATACTACTATAATAAGAGTTAAATATAACAATTCACAGATCAAAGCATGATTCAACCCCAAATAGAGGAAATTAGACTTTGATTCCAATTACGTATGCACATAAGAAGATATATTATGTTAGTTATTATGCTAAAACTCGGTAAACAATGCCTCCGACAACATGGGCACAAAAGGCTGATTAATTAGCACATAAATTCCTATTTTTCCTTTCTTTTCCTTTTTTTCTTTTCTTTTCTTTTCTTTTTTTGTCTCGAGTGCATATTCTCTACCATCTTTTTTTTTTGTCTCGAGTGCATATTGTTGAGGATCTGCGTTGTCGTTTGGCTCAGAAACCTGCTCAACCAGTCCTGTTCTTCCTTCACAGTGCACCACCAAGGACCAAAAGGAGAGCTCGCCGATCTCCTTCAACCCGTCACTCACAAAGAGAATCGCAGAAAACACCAAGGACCAAAAGGAGAGCTCGCCGATCTCCTTCAACCCGTCACTCACAAAGAGAATCGCAGAAAAAGGGTGAGAGCACAAAGCTCACAGGAACACAAAACTCACAGAAGGGGGGAGATCACACACAGCAGAGGAGAGCTCAAGCTCAGATCTTCACCTCACCATCTCTTCTTCTTCTTCATCCCTCTTCCGAGCTACTACCAACCCATTACCCATATATAGGGAAGGGGGCAGCCGACACGGGAGAGGAGCTAGGGAAGAAAACGAAGGAGGGAGCCGACCTACGGATGGGAGCAAGCGGCGGCCATCAGATCACGAAGACTTAGGAGGAGGTGAGAACCATCGGGTAGGTGAAGAAAATAGAGGGGCTAGGGCACAAGTGGGGGAGCTGGGCATTTAGAGTAACGGGCCAACTTATTGGGCCAACAAAACAACCAACAATCTCCACCTTTGGCCCAAGGTAGTGCACATAGAAAAAACACGGAACTGCAGGACTCATCATCGCCAAATTATTACCTGTATAATCACAAAGAAGATACAAGCAATGGAAGAGAATACACTAAGTAAACTCAGATCACAAAGATCAGGGTAAAATCACCAAGCATACCAAGTCCACAAAGGACCGAACTCTACCAAATGGTCAACGAGTTCAAAGGGGAAAAATCACAAAGCTACTAACAAGCACAAAGCAAGTTAATAGGCCACAAAGGCAACACACAAAGCAAAGGAAAATTACCCAAAATCAAAATTCAAGATTCTTTGACACGAGATAAATTTTTCAGCAAGCAAACACTTAGTACCCATGTCAGCAGGATTAAATTCTGAGGGAATTTTCTCTAACTTGACAATACCCTTTTCAACTATATCCCGAATGTAATGAAATCTAACATCAATATGTTTAGTTCTATCATGAAAAACAGGATTTTTGCAAAGTTGAATAGCAGATTGACTATCAGAAAATACAACCACATTTTTATCAAGAAAACCAATTTCAGATATAAGGCCCCTAAGCCAAATAGCTTCTTTAAAAGCTTCAGTGGCAGCAACATACTCAGATTCAGTAGTAGATAAAGCAACAATGGGTTGTAATTGGGATTTCCAACTTATGCAAGAGCCACACAAAGTAAACACATAGGAAGTGGTAGATTTTCTATTATCCCTATCATTTGCATAATTGGAATCTACATAGCCAGCAAGTTTGACACCTTCAGAACACTTAGAGAAGGTTAATCCTACATCCACAGAGGATTTCAAATATCTTAAAAGCCACTTCAAGACATTCCAATGAGACATACCAGGGTTTGACATATATCTACTCAAGCAACTAACCGCATATGCAATGTCAGGCCTAGTACTAACCATGAGATACATGATAGATCCTATAGCATTCGAATATGGCACCTTCTTCATATCATTTATTTCATTTTCAGTATTGGGAGATTGATCCTTACTTAACACAAAATGAGAAGCAAGAGGCACATTCACAGATTTAGCATTAGACATAGCAAATTTACTCAAAATTTTTTCAACATATGAACTTTGGTTTAAAACTAGAGTAGATTTGTTTTTGTCCCTAATAATATTCATGCCTAGGATTCTTTTAGCATCACCTAAGTCTTTCATGTCAAAATTTTCACAAAGACATTTTTGAACATGCTCAATAGACTTCAAACCAGGACTAACAATCAACATGTCATCCACATAAATTACAAGAAATACAGGCACAGAGTCTATATTCTTATAATACATGCAATGATCAGCAGAACTCCTTTTGAACTTTAAAGATTGCATGCATTTATCAAATTTAATATTCCATTGCCTAGGTGATTGTTTTAAACCATACAAAGTCTTTTTTAACAAACACACATGATCAGATAATTTAGGGTCCACAAAGCCCTCAGGTTGGTGCATATAAATATTTTTATCAAGATCACCATGCAAGAAAGTAGTAGTTACATCCATTTGTTTTAATTCCCAATTAAAATGAACAACTAAAGCAAGCATAATTCTAACAGTAGTGAATTTAACAACAGGAGCAAAAATTTTAGCATAATCAATTCCCTCCTTTTGAGTAAATCCCTTAGCTACTAACCTAGCCTTAAACCTAACACTTTCAGATTCTTGTTTTACCTTAAACAGTCACTTACAGTCCACTACAGAACAACTAGCAGGTTTAGGAACAAGTTTCCATGTTTGGTTAATTTTTAGGGATTCCATCTCACTCTTCATAGCACTAATCCATTCTTCAGAATATTTTGACCTTAATGCTTCTTTATAAGTCTTAGGTTCATTGCACTCAAGGGATTCAAACACATTAAAGGCAAACTCAGACATATTACAATCAATCAAATTGCAATCTCTATATCTTTCAGGTTTCCTAATGGTTCTTTTATTTCTATCCCTAGTGAGTTGATAATCATTCAAATCATGCATGTTATCTATTTCCTGCATATCATGCTCCACCTCATTTGGAATAATCTCATCTTGATTTTCAATAATTATATCATTCAATTTTTCTTCAGGAAATGATTTGGGTTGATTAATAATAGGCTTTTGCTCCACCTCATTTGGAGCATCATTTTCAGGAATAGGAACATGTAAAGGTAAACAAGGAAATTCATTTTCATTAAAGACAACATCTCTGCTTATCACTACCTTAAACCTCGGTTCACTCTTATTCCAAAGCCTATAACCTTTTACCCCTTCAGGATATCCTAAGAAAACACATTTCTTAGATCTAGGTTCTAACTTATCAATCTTTTGATGCACATAGCCAGCACTCCCGAAAATTCTCAAATTATTTAAATCAAGAGGTTTGCCCGTGAACACAAATTCAGGGCATTTCCCTCCTAAGGGAACAGAAGGAGACCTATTAATCAAATAGGCCGCAGTACAAACAGCTTCTCCCCAGAACTTCTTGGAGAGCCCAGATGTGGCCAACATAGCCCTCACCCTCTCTAAGAGAGTTCTATTCATCCTTTCAGCAACCCCATTCTGCTGGGGTGTATAGGGAACAGATTTATGCCTTTTAATACCCCAAGTAGTACACAAATCATTCAATTGTTTGTTACAAAACTCAAGACCATTGTCTGTCCTAAGAGTTTTAATTTTCTTTCCCGTTTGGTTTTCAATCATAATTTTCCAGTTTTTAAATTTATCAAAAACTTCAGATTTTTGTTTCATGAGTAAAACCCAAACTTTCCTAGAATAATCATCAATTATGGAAAGAAAATATTGGTTCCCTCCATGCGTAGGCACACTAGAGGGACCCCACACATCAGCATGCAAATATTCAAGTACACTAGTGCACTTAGACTGATTAGGAAAAGAAGAAGTAGGAAAAGTAACCCTATGTTGTTTTCCTAGCACACAAGATTCACAGAAAGGGATGGGGGATATTTTATCACTACCAAAGTGTCCTCCTTTATGCAAAATTTCTAATCCTTTATTACTCATGTGACCTAATCTATTATGCCATAAAACAGATTTATCACCTATCACAGAGTTAACAGAATCAAGCACAGGTTCAGCATGACAAATATACAAATTGTTTTGTTTTTCAGCAGTAAAAACAACAAGAGACCCTTTTTGAATTTTCATAACCCCTTTACCCCATTTTCCCTCCAAACCATCATTTTCTAGAGATGCACAAGAAATCAAGTTATAACGTAAATCAGGAACATGCCTAACATCCTTCAAAGTAAACACAGAACCAGAGGAAAACCTAAGGCATACATCACCAGTTCCTAAAACATTGCATTTCTTTTCATTTGCCATTGACACAAAGCCATTCTCTATTTTCTTGTAGTTTGAAAACAAGGTTTTAAAAGGAGTCATATGAAAAGTACAACCAGAGTCTACTAACCAATCTGATTTACACAAAGGATCAGATAACACAGAGTTCAAATATGCATAATCACACAGATTATTAATCATGAAAATCTCACCCATTTTGCCCTCACAGACAGCCATATTAGCATGTTCATTTTGCTGATTTTTCTTAGGCTTAGGACAATCTTTAATAAAGTGACCAGTTTCATGACAATTATAGCATTTTTTAGCTTTAAATCTGGACTTAGATCTACCCCTTCCATTTTCAAACTTTTTCTTACTTTATTCCCCATTACTCGCATTCTTTTGGTAATTAGACCTATTCTGAGGCCTACCCCTCACATGCATAACCTCACCAGAATTTTTATTTCCCCCAGAATGTTTTAAATCTAATTCCTTACTCTTAAGACCATTGACCACAACATCAAGGGTAACCTCATCTCTACCATATTTAATAGCAGATTTCACATCACTATATGAGTCAGGAATAGCATTTAGAAGGGCAATAGGAGTATAATCATCTATATGTTTATCACCAGTTAACTTAATATCTGAAATAAGTTTTGTGAAAACATCTAGGTTCTCCTCAATGTCCTTAGACATATCCAATCTAAATTTGAAAAAATTTTCAAGCAAAAACATTTTACTGGGCAAAGAGGTTTCAGTATAGAGTTCTTCAAGTTTATCCCAAAGAGTTTTAGCACAGTCCAAAATTCCAACTTTTCTAATCACAGAGTCAGAATTTTTAAAATCAAAACTTCATCAAATGCAACCGGACTTTGTGCTGCAAAATCAAAAGGTCATTGGGCCAGATTTGCTTATGGGCTTTGTGTTGTAAATGTTCAAAATCAAAGAAATGTCATTGGGCCAAGCTTGCTTACATGAATCATTTTCTCAAATGGACTATGCTGCATATTTTAAAAATCAAATGATATGAATGGGCCGGACCTGCATCAAATATTTGGACTTTCATTTTCTTTTGAAAATCATATGGATGTTGGGCTAGAGAAGAACAAAAAGCAAATTCAAAGGTGGAGATTGTTGTTTGGGGCTCAAGACAAATCCAATGGCTCATATTCATTGAAGATTACTATAAATAGGGGTAGAGAGTGAGGGGTTAGAGGGTGAAAATTTTGTAAACTCCTTTTGGAGAGGAGGGCTACTCTTAATTGAGAAGGCCTTTCAAAAATTGTAACTTTAGTTGCAATTAATAATAATAATTTTTTCACCACTTTAAATTTTTCTCTTCTTCTCTTTGTTGGATGATGAAGATGAAGATGAAGATGGAGAATTATTTGAAGGTTTGTATTTCTTTCTTTTTCTCTTTTATTGCTTATTAATGTAGATTTAATTCCATGCTTGTAGTTTAGATTTTATTTTCTTGTTAAATAGCCAAGAGGCTAGAACCCTCTTGCCTTAGATTTATTTCATGCTTATAGAATAGATTTATTTTCTTACATTTAATTCTTGTAATTTTATTTTGTAGTTTAGATTTTGCAATTTATTTTGTAGTTAGATTTTAATTTCTTACACTAATCACCTTGAGGCTAGAACCCTCTTGGGTTTAGTTTTTCTTTTTGTTTATTTTTATTTTGTTTGATTCGCCTTTAGGCTAGAACCCTCTAGGGAATCACCATTTTCTAAGAAGTGGGTTCAATTTTAGATTATCCATATCTATAATTGAATCCACCATCTTTAATTTCTTGCATTTTCTTTTATTCTAGAATTTTGTTCTTCATTCTTGAATTTTTTATTTGTTTCTTGATTTTATTCATTTTTCCTTCTCACCTTATTGATCATACTCAAATCCACTCTCACTTACACTTTGCACCTATTCACACACCATTTTCACTCTCTCAATCTCTCCACAATCACATTTACTCATCACTCCTATTTGTCACAACATAAGAACCGATTTTATATTTTCTCCTACAAAACACCTTCCTCGTGGGATCGATATCTTAAATACTATAACTTGACACGGTTGTGCACTTGCAACCTTTTTGGTACATGTTTATGCCGCATCACTAATTCCTTACTCTTAAGACCATTGGCCACAACATCAAGGGTAACCTCATCTCTACCATATTTAATAGCAGATTTCACATCATTATATGAGTCAGGAATAGCATTTAGAAGGGCAATAGGAGTATAATCATCTATATGTTTATCACCAGTTAACTTAATATCTGAAATAAGTTTTGTGAAAACATCTAGGTTCTCCTCAATGTCCTTAGACATATCCAATCTAAATTTGAAAAAATTTTCAAGCAAAAACATTTTACTGGGCAAAGAGGTTTCAGTATAGAGTTCTTCAAGTTTATCCCAAAGAGTTTTAGCACAGTCCAAAATTCCAACTTTTCTAATCACAGAGTCAGATAAGTTCAAATAAATTGTGGAACAAGCATTTTCGTTCATTTCCGCCCGTTTATTTTCAGTGTCAAAGGTTAAATAAGTCTGACCAACAGCCCTAACGGACTTCTGTTGAATTAAGATGCATTTTATTTTTTGTTTCCAAATGCTAAAATCAGATTTTCCGTTGAACGGAGTCATACCATATTGAATCATACTATATTGATTAACAGCGGACATTTTTCACACAGAAAAACAAACAGCAAAAAATAGCACGATTTTGGTAATTATCCGGCTCGAAACGTGTGAAGCAACTAGCACGAACAAATGAGAAGAACGATGAACACAAAGTTCTTGTTTCAATCTCTTTGATCTTTCACACGAGCAACAAAGTTCTTGTTTCAATCTCTTTGATCTTTCACACGAGCACTCCCAAAAAACAGTATTTTAATTTCTTAAAAAAAATTAACAGACCCAAAAATTTTCCCAAAGATTTACTGTAATTTTTCAACAAAGCCAGAGATTAATCAGATTGAATGCACAGGAACTTCAAAGATGGCGATGCAGACAAGATCAAGCTAATAACTACAGAAACAGATATCCGTCACCTCACCTGAGCGAAACCCTAGGGGAGGGTTTCGACCTTACCCTTGCTTGAGCGACGACGAGTCACCGAAGGCTCTGATACCACTGTTGAGGATCTGCGTTGTCGTTTGGCTCAGAAACCTGCTCAACCGGTCCTGTTCTTCCTTCACAGTGCACCACCAAGGACCAAAAGGGGAAAGCTCACTGATCTCTACAACCCTATGTTGTTTTCCTAGCACACAAGATTCACAGAAAGGGATGGGGAATCGCACATAGCAGAGGAGAGCTCAAGCTCAGATCTTCACCTCACCATCTCTTCTTCTTCTTCATCCCTCTTCCGAGCTACTACCAACCCATTACCCATATATAGGGAAGGGGGCAGCCGACACGGGAGAGGAGCTAGGGAAGAAAACGAAGGAGGGAGCCGACCTACGGATGGGAGCAAGCGGCGGCCATCAGATCACGAAGACTTAGGAGGAGGTGAGAACCATCGGGTAGGTGAAGAAAATAGAGGGGCTAGGGCACAAGTGGGGGAGCTGGGCATTTAGAGTAACGGGCCAACTTATTGGGCCAACAAAACAACCAACACATATTCTCTGCCATCTTTTTTTGTCTCAAGTGCATATTCTCTACCATCTTGATCGTAGAGAATGCGCTTCCACCATTATTGATGAAGAAATTTTCTAAACAAACCCATTCATAATTTTTTTTTCTAAAAATAGACTCATTTGAGTTTTTTTACAAAAATCGACTCACGTTGTCTTAAACCAGTTTCTAAATAGTCAGGGTTGCCAACCCCGACTATTTAGAAACCAGATTAAGATAAAATGAGTCTATTTTTGTAAATAAAACTCAAGAGAGTCTATTTTTAGAAAAAAAAAATATGAATATGTTTATTTAGAAAAGTTCTTCTATTATTGATTTGTTTTAATAGGTCCCACAATTAAAAGATTTTGTAAACAGAAATTAAAAGCCAGTTAGCCATAGTAATAATACGATACAAAAGGGAAAGGAAAAAAGAAAGAAGAGGAAGATTGTTTTCAACTTCATATACGAACCATCAAATAAACAAGTTACAGATAATAATTCCTATTTGCCCCCACAAACTATACACAATTTTATTTCTGCACCTAAAAATTTTCCTAAGTGCCAATTAAAAAACCTTTTTTTTTATATAAAAAAAAAAACTCTAAACAAGAATCATAGAACAGGACACCCATCAACGCTAATCCCTTTAGCGGTCGGACAATTAGCAAGATCGCAGTGCTCCCCTCCATTCCCCCACCAATCAAGGCTCGCATTCTCCGTACTCAACG